GCTGTTTCTTGGGGTCTACAGAGCAGTACATTCAGTAATCTGGATAAAACACTGACCCTATATTGAAACAGAATTACTGTAGTTACACTTGGTCAATCACTCTAGACAATCTGTGTAAAGTGGTGTGGCCCTGCTTAACAGGACTGCTATTTTCCTTGTTAAAGATGTGTAGCCTCAGGAAAAAAAAATGCATGTGAGTAATCCTTGGTTTGCTCTCAAACAAATCCCTAGTATCTGGAACACATGGCCATGAACTCAGTTCCAACTCTTCCAAATAATTCTTTGAGATTATGACTATGTCATGTCTACGCTCTCTTTCCTACCTACAAGCCCTACCATTGACCACTAATTGTTTTCTAATTCTTGGCCTGTTTTTCTTTAACATTTACATAGTTTCAACAGTTACTGTTTGAATGTGACCTGTGTTTGGATGCAGGTCTTCCCAGATATGAAGCAAAGGTTTGGTTGCACTGGACAATCAGTGTGTATTTGTACACAAAGGACTGTGTGCTTGGAAAGGGGAACAAGAAGTACTCTGTGAGACTGGAAGAATTTTGAAAATATAGACTTCTCAGAATAGCATTCTGTCTGCTCCTAAGGTGGGAGGGCAGAGCTGAGAAGGCCTGTGCTGTGTGTGTCATTTGATGTCTGATCACCCAGTGGGGGAGCCGCCTCTGTCCTGAGTCTGAGCTGGGTAGTCTTAGCTAATGCGTGACCTCAAGAAGGCTTAGCAATTAGTACCAATGGGAAGGAGCTTGCAGGTTCTTTTCAGGATTCTCATCTTGCTTTGCTGTAGGAGCTGTGAGGAAGACCAAAATCCATGCCATGGTGAGTGTGGAGCCCACTGACCTGAGACCAAGAGCAGAAGTTCTGCTGAGCTGTCAGAGCTTCTGTGACTGTGAAGGACCATGAGCCAGACTATGGTTCTTTTGGTCCCTGTGTTGATCTGAGAAATGGCCCTTCTTTGAGAATCCCTGAGTGTGGATTCAGTGGTGAGGGGGAGGCTCTGCTTCCCTGGCTATGGGGCTGTGATATCTGTACTATATTTGCATGTTGTTAGGCAAGTGGATAGAGCAGATTCTAGATCATGTGTTATAACCCATGTGGAAATAGACATTAAATTATTCTTCTAAACTGTTTTGTGATTGAGCATCAGTGGGTCTTGAAACCACATGGGGACATGAGAGTTCAATGAGTCACAGCATGTGATTTCCTCCATTTGTGAAGAAAGCTGTAGAGCTTGAGGCCTCTCTGTTTGGAAGATATATCCATAGCTACAGGGTCAGAAACTGCATTTAAAGTTTACTTTGAGATAATTTTGAGGGGGTTGTGAAATTTGTGTTTATTTAATTTCTATACACAGAATTACAGGCAGTTGGATAATATTTGTCATGATCCCATATTTCTTCTGTGTTCTTCATTTTGTCTCTTCATTAAAAGTTGATTTTATTTTTCTGCTTTTGTTCTTCGCTTTTTCTCTCCATCTACTTCATTCATTCTCATATATTGTACAGATTCTTGATTGAGAAAAATAAAACAAACAAAAAAATATTTTTGATATGTTTATGTTACTGTAATTATGGTTTTTTTGGTCATGTCAGATATGGAGGAATAGGAAAAAAAAAACTTGGTTGCACCTATTTTTGGCCCTCTTCATAGGGTGATTAAAGTCAGGCCCCAGCCTTGCACAGATATTTCTTACTTAGCTGTCTCACTGCTCCTCAAATAAACATAGCTGAGATATTTAATCAGTATAATATTGTCTTCTTTTCAAATTATAAATGTATTATCATCTAATGGTAGAGGAAAACAGAACAATTTGAGTAATAGATCCTTGCAAATGGTAGTGATATACTCCTTTCCTTTTTTTTCCTTTTGAATGTGTTAGTTTATTCTGAGAATTAAGCTCTTGTTCATTACATTTTTCATAACCACAAGTGAATGCCATAGAATTGTCTCAGTGGTAAAGTTGATTGTTGTTAAGCCTAATGACTTGAGTTCAATCTCTGGAAGACTCAAATACCTACAAAATTTTCCCTTAGTGCCACAATTGGGCTTTGGCACATGCACACCCCTACAATGGCACATACCTAAATAATTTTTAAACCCCAATAAATGTCATTGATGTCACTTGCTGCCAGAAGACTCCTTGGTTTCATCTCTGGACCTCACATAGGAGAAGTAGTTAATAGACACTTTGAAGTTGTCCTCTCACTGCCACATCCACATGATGGCACAGGCATGCATGCACAGAGTTCAGACATTTTTAAATGGATAAAATTAACAAAGCAAGTAACCCAGTTATTGGGAATATATGAAATGATTTGCCAGTTTACATTATAATTACAGAAATTCAAGAGGTATTACTGTTCAATGCAACATTGATGATTTCTTTTAAAATCTTATGTTATCATTTAATTCTCTGAGTTAAAGATAGAACATTTAAAAACATATTTCATTTGGCCTTAGAGGAGCATGCCTGCAATCCCAGCATTTGGGGAACAGTGACAAGCCAATATCTCTGAGTTTGAGGTTTCAGGTAAGGTTGGTTCAAATAGTGAGTTCCACTACAACCATGGCTTTGTAGAGGTATCCTATCTCAAAAAATTCTTAAAATAGCCAGGCGGTGATGGCGAATACCTTTAATCCCAGCACTTGGGAGGGAGATCTCTGTGAGTTCGAGGCCAGCCTGGACTACAGAGGGAGTTACAGGAAAGACACAAAGCTACACAGAGAAACCCTGTCTTGAAAATCCAAATAAATAAATAAATAAATAAATAAATAAATAAATAAATAAATAGTGAATAAAGAAATAAACAAATAAATAAAATTCTTAAAATATATGGCATATCTCAAATTATAGATCTTTTTCTATAAAATCTGACTGAACACTGACTGGTTTCAACAAATCAGGTTTGTTATCTTGGCTCACATCAAGGGAATTGTGTTAATAATTAAAATAAGAAGCAAAGTAGAGAGTCCATTCAAAGATGGCTAAAAAGCCATTGAACTCTTTGATAGCCATCTAGAGGGGACTTTCATCACCTTCAAGTGACAGGAGACAGAAGAAGTAACCTGGCATCTTAATCTACATTTTAATGTCAGATTTGGGAGCTGGAAAGTTTACTGAATATTCATGTTCCTCTTGGACACACAAGTTTGGTTCCTAGACCCAGATGACCCAGAATTACCTATATTTCTAGGTCCTGGAGATGTGTTGCATTCTTTAGTCCTCCTAGGGTACCAGAAATACAAATGGCAAAAAGACAGATATGTGTATGATTTGATACTTTTGGAAAAGTTTTTCTTCATGCATATGTTATTTTCAAAAGGAATGAAGTTTGATTTATATGTATAAGTTTTCCTAGTGTGTATATCAAGAACATGCCAAGTACTGGAGTATATCATAAGAGACTGTCTGATCCCAGGTGCCTGTAGTTACAGAGAGTAGTGAGCTGTCTTCTGGGTGCCGGGAATCAAAGTCAGGCCCTGTGAATGAACAGCCAGTGCTCTCAGGTGTTGAACCTTCTATTCAGTCCCATGAAAATGTCATTATAGCAGTGAGGTATGATGGATGATCCCGATTTCATCTTCAACTCAGCCCTTATTTTCCAAAAGAAATACAAGATTGAAAGGACCCAAAATTAACTTAGACATAGTACTTAAAGAAGTTTCCAAGCCCAAATCTCTACAAAATGAGGGAAGAGTGCAAGAAATTATCAGAAGTGTAATTGGCAAAGCAAGTCTTTTTTAAAGATTTATTTATTTTTATTATATATGCCTGTTCTGCCTGCATGCCAAAAGAGGTCACCAGATGGTATCCAGCCCCCAACAATACACGTCTTAAAAAGTGTCTGACTGCTGGACCAAAACCATGAGACATGAGTTTATCTCCAATACCAAAAAATGAGCAGCAATGTGAGCCCACAAGGACAATTGGCAGGTGTACCCTTGCTGGAGTTTATGCCTCCTGAAAGGAGATGAGAGGAAATAGCAAGAATGAAAACTGACTTGTCTGAATGGAATCCTATTTTTCTTCCTTGATGCCTGTAAAACTCTCTGTTGGAGCTCCTAATTGTGGTGACTCCAGATGACATCCAGCTTGTCAGGAGATCTTGCGACTTAAACAGAAGTCACTGTAAACCAGTGGCAATCAGAAATTCAAAAAGAGCTATAGAGTATGGAAGAAGTGTTAGAAGACAGTTTTTGGTGTGAAAGCCCAGGATCAAATGACCAGAGAGGAATGCTTAGGGTGTACCTGAGAAAAGCTGTCTCCTACTGTGCTCTCTGTATTGACTCAGGTGTGGTGAATTAGTGCATTCCAGGTCTCTCACTCTTTCCTGTTTTGACAACTACATGTAGCTGTCCCTGACAATTTTCTGCAGGACCCTTTTTCTGGTCCACATTTGGGCCTTAAAACTCCTCAGTCTGCACCTGTCAATCCCTGTAACCTACATTCCTGGTAGGAATAAGGATGTTCTAAAGAGATATTTCTACCTCTCTTTTTGGCTAACAATTATTGGAAGAGTGGACCACATGAAATTGTATTTTCATCAAGTAGTGGTGGCACACACCTTTAATCCCAGGACTCAGAGGCAGAGGCAGGTGGATCTCTGTGAGTTCGAGGTCAGCCTGGTCTACAAAGCAATTTCCAGGAAAGGCACAAAAATGCCCAGAGAAACCCTGTCTCAAAACTGCCCCCCCCAAAAAAGAAAGAAATTTTAATTTCATTGGGCATCTCATTGTTAGAAAAGACTTGAGTCCTCCAGATGATAATTTAGCATGGTTTTAAGATGGGAAAAAAATAATTACATGGCTTCATTAGATTACTTGGTTTTGCATATCTTTTGCCTTCTATATAAACCTCTTAGGACCTCAAGGTGGATTAGTTATCTTATATTTTCTTTATTGTTCCAAATTTGTCAATTTGAATAAATATCATGTTTTAAATTTTCATTAATAATTTGCTTTTTTTCCTTTTCTCTTTTCATTTTGTAAAGAATAGTATTACTATGACTCCCTGGTTGGCCTGGAACTCAACTACAGACTAGTCTGTCCTAGGATATCAGAGAGATCTGTTCACCTTGTCTCCAGAGTTCCTGCATTATAGGTGGGCATGTTGCTCACTGGATAACTTGGTTCATTCAATTGGCTTACTGAAGATGAGTGGCTGTGCCTGCCTTGTTAGAGTAGCCAGGGGAGAGGTTCTGATCCTATCTTCAGTAACAGAAGAAGGTTCCCATCAAATGTATCCTGCCTGCCTTAGTGTTACCTTTCTTCCAACTCTAAGAAATTTTATTTTTCTTTATTACTGAGGCTGTTACAACTCATCAATGACCTGGGAAGAGTTCTGTCCTTATTTTGCAGAAAGTGAAACCCAGGCTCACAGAGATAAGTATTTTTGAATATAGTTAAGTATAATTGTTCATGTAACTCATCCCATCATTCTAATGCCTCATGAAATGCATTTGAAGCAACTTAGGCTAGACATGGTGGCTCAGGCCTGCAATCATGGTACTTAGAATTTGGAGATAGGAATTTCAGGTTTTCAATGTCATCCAAAATGAGAATGGTCAATGGGTTATGGTTGGAGTATAAGACCAAAATGAGCCGTCTTAGAAATAAGACCAAAATGCTTTCACCCTAAAATTAAGGCCTAAGATTTCTCCTTTTGGGAATAGGCCATTAGTTACTGAAACCAGTCAGTTCAAATTCCAGAAACCAGGAAATGTAAAAGTACAGAGTCACAAGATAGTCATGAGGTAATGCCTATCAGACTATGGAATGTCCTCTCCCTGGTTTCCAGGGTAACTGACCACAGAAATGCCCCCACCTGAGGGCAGCCAATGAGAAATGGTGGCAGGCAACCACTCCATTAGAAGTAATTTGTAGCAGTCCCTATAAGTGAGCCAATCAGAATTGTACCTGTACTAGCACCCCTAAATGATATAACCTTGTGATTTTTCACTTTAAAAACTGAGCTTGCAGATAGGTGGGCACTTCCTCCAGCCTCCACTGCATTGGATGTATTGGATGAAGTCCCTGCCTAGGCTTGTATTGCTTTTGGATATCCAGAATTAAACCTTGCTTTTGCATTCTGGTATGCTCGTCTTCAGTGGTCTCTATGGGGGTCACGATCTGAGCATAACAGGAGGACCAGAGAACCAAGGGAAACTGATTGGCTGGGGACAATGTCCATAGTCTTCCCTGCAGCTCCAGAAATTCAAGGCCAAGGGAACAGCAATTTTTAGCTGAGGTACTTACCACCTCAAGTTTACTATTATTTATAATGTTTTCCTATTCTTGTAAATGTTTTTTGTCCAAGGCACCTAGATCACTTGGGAATAAAACTCTTATTGCTCACTAAATAGTGGTATTCTCCTGCAGGTGGACAAATTAGTCTCGGGCAGGGATGAGCTCCCTATTTGCTTATCCAATATAATGTCTTCATCCTTGAATCTTTATAAACACAACCGACAGATTTGGACTCAGCAGGTTTTATTCATATATTTGTGCATACATATTCTCACATGCTTAATAAGGAAGAAATTGGAAGGGAAAAATTTGGGAAGGGATGGAGAGAGGAAAAGAAGGGGGGGAAATGATTAAATACATATTAATTTGTGAGAACAAAATGAGCCATCTTAGAAATAAGACCAAAATGCTTTCACCAAAAACTAAGGCCTAAGATTTCTCCTTCTAGGAATAGGCCAATAGTTACTGAAACAAGTCAGACCAGATTCCAAAAACCAGGAAGTGTAAAAGTACGGAGTCCCAAGGTGGTCACGAGATAATGACTACTGGACTATAGACTGGTCTAACCCTGGCTTCCAGGGTAACTGACCATAAAAATGTCCCCACCTGAGGGCAGCCACTGAGCAATGGTGGCAAGCAACCACCCCCTTAGAAGTAAGATTAAGCCATGATTTTTTTGAAAGCCCCTAGAAGCGAGCCAATCAGAATTGTACCCGTACTAGCACCCCTGAATGATGTAACCTTGTGATTTTTCCCTTTAAAAACTGGGTTTGTAGATAGGTGGGCACTTCCTCCAGCCTCCACTGCGTTGGACCTATTGGATGAAGTCCCTGCCTAGGCTTGTATTGGATATCCAGAATTAAACCTTGCTTTTGAATTCCATCATGCTCATCTTTGGTGGTCTCTCTGGGGGTCATGATCTGGGTACAACAATTTAAAATGTATTAAAATAGATTTAAGATAAAAAAGTGGCCTAGGGAGATACCTTAACAATTAAAAGCAGCACTGGTTGTTGTTATATAAGACACAGGTTCCATTTTAACTAGCCATCTCCTGTAACTCTCTTCTGGCCTTTGCAAGTACTCTGTACAAATGCCTGGAGGCAAACATCTGTACATATAAAATAAAATAAAGCTTAAAAAATGGAATCCTATGCAATGATGTCACAGCCCTGAGACAGACAGCAGCCAGGGCAAGTTAAAATGATCTCTGTTGTGCCCAGGTCACAAGATCCCTAAGCTAGACCACCACAGAGCCATTATCTGATGCAAGCACACAAGCTTTGAAGAACAAAATAAGCAAGCTCAGTCACGTTCATCATCCGACACAGCAGGTGGAGGAAAATGGCCCTGAGCACTCACTTTAAGCAGTTTATATAGGAAAAGTTTACATGCAGCTTGGGATGGGACGAGGGATCTAGGTGTGAGGTAGTTTTTTGAAGTTACCAGTTGAACTATAACCTTCAGATTGCTGATGACTAACAGGATTCACAGTATTACAGAGACATAAATTTTTACTCCCTATGTCCTGCTTTTGTTGAACCCAGAATATGTACATTCAGATTTATTGTTCCTGTCCTACTCTCCCGAGTTCAACTTCTGTTCAACTGAGCCCATTACTCCCTATATGTTGTTTTGCCAAGTCTAGGATACATAGATTTATTGTCCCAGCCTTAAAAGTTCAACTTCTGGTAACTTCTAAACCTGTTGGTCAGCAAAAACTTTTGGAGGAGGGGAGGGGGAACCGTCTCTCAAGATGGCTACTGATTTTCCCTTTTTCTCCCGATCCTGCATGCTTGTAAGACATTCTATGAAATCAACTTTCTACATACATGGAGAGATTCATTCTATCAGTCCTGATCATGTAGAGAAGCTTAAATAATAGAGTTGGTTTTTTTTTCTTCACCTGTCTATGGAGAAAGATGTGCTGGCTAACAATGGTACTCATAAATGCATTCTTCCTGGCTCCATTACTCTCTAAGTATTCTTCTTTCCATGAAGACTACTCTTTATTATTATTTATTTTGCCAAAACTTTGCTCTGAATTTCAGGAATAAAACTAAGGAGGATGGAGCCTTCCTTCAGCTTTCTGATGGGAGAAAGACCTTTTATCTTGTTTGTGATCTAGTTTCTGCTTTCCTTGCTGCTTGTCTGGAGTCTCTGTGACAACCAGGTAAAAAGTACCTTCAGTTCACCTGATGTCAGTGTTAAGTCACACAACAAACACTCTTCTTGTGTGTCTTTAAATATCCCTACAGTTGTTAAAATTTTGGGTACTCTTCTACCTGTGTGGCAGCAAATCACTCCACCCCACATAGTATAGTGGTCTGGACAAGCTAGCTATCCACAATGTGTCCAGGAGGAGGAAGAGGAAGTACCTATTGAGAGCAGGAAGAGATCAGGTCTGCTTTGCAGCCTGGGGCAAGAGCTATTGAAATGCATATTTTTGCTGAACTAGAAAATGTCTTTGTCTGTGGTAGAAGGGAGGGACAGGAATCATTGTGCTCTGTTTTTCAGCACACTTCCTAGTCCCAGGGAAGGCCTCTGAATAACTTTGGTCTGTGGGCTGATTCTGCTCACAGAATGGGGAGCAGGGAGCTGTGTGTAGAAAGATATTTGTAATTAAATTAAACATTCTTTTTGTTTGAAAGTGTTATGTCCAGTTTGCAGGGATCACCAAAAACCCACTATGGAGGCTGTATCCCATAAGTGAAATCAAAGAGCATTTATTTTCAAGCTCCGGGGCATCGTTTGTCTGTCCCACACAGCAGGGAGAGCAGAGAACCCTGAGCTCAGGTGGGATTGGGTTTTTATAATAGCAATGGTTAGGGTGAGGAAATTTCCAGAATTCAGGACCCTGATTGGCTGACAATTATCTAGGGGTATCTGAAAAATAAAAAGGTATGTGCAAGATTCAAGGATATTTGGCTACTTTATCTAATTCTTGGAATGTTTGGGATGTTAGGTGCTTCCACATCCCTGGGTGGATCCCTGGGTGGTGTAAGCTTATTTCTTTTCCTGACTCCGGGTGTTGCTTGCTAGTAAGCCTGTCACAGAAGGTATGTCTGGGCCTCTAATCCTGTCATGCAGCTATGTGGTCAGGTTGTTTGGGGACACTTCCACAAAAGCATGTTTCTAAACTAGAAGAGGCCCAGTTTCTCCAGTACCTTCTAGAGATTCAGCACTTTGAATTTACCTTTCATGTTTAAGATCCTTTTTCATTAATTTTGTGGAGATTGTAAAAGGCATCTAATGTGTTAGGTAGAACTCCACTGCTAAGGTTTAATATAGAAGAGTAGAATTAGTGATATAAAAGATTCACTAATTCTTTGGCGATAGTAAGTCTCACAAAATAGAATTTAGGTGAAAGAGGACTGCCTAAAAAAACACAAAATAGGTATATTCTCCAGGGCTGTTAGAGATTAGGACAGTAGCATACACATTTGTTCACCAGGATTGTCCAGACACTTGGCTCCAAAGCATTTCAAAGGAGACACTGCCCATTTACCACAAGCCACTATGTCTAATCCTATATCAAAGAATATCTAACAAGCTGCTCATTGAGGCATTGCAGGTTCACATCCAACCTTAAGTCCTGTCATGTCATAAAATTCCAATTTCTTCTTTAGAAAGGCATAGTTCTGGGCGGTGGTGGCACACGCCTTTAATCCCAGCACTCGGGAGACAGAGGCAGGTGGATCTCTGTGAGTTTGAGGTCAGCCTGGTCTATAGAGTGAGTTCCAGGAAAGACACAAAGCTACACTGAGAAACCATGCCTTGAAAAAAAAATTTCCTCTAGAAAGGCACAGTTCTGCCAGATGGGCAATATGGCCAAGTGGCAAATGTTTGAAAAGTAAAACTCAAGGTTTATGGTGGTACACACCTTTAATCCCAGCACTCACTTGAGAGGCAGAGGCAAGCAGATCTCTGTGTGTTTGAGGACAGCCTGATCTACAGAGTGAGTTTCACGAGAGGCTCCAAAGCAATACAGTGGAACCCTCCCTTGAAAAACCAAAAAAAAAAAAAAAAAAAAAAGAAAGAAAAAAAAAGAAAGAAAGAACAAGAAAGAGAAAAAAGAAATGTAGAGCTGGGTGGTTGTGATGCACACCTTTAATCACAGCACCAGAGAGGCAGAGCCTGTGGATCTCTGTGATTTCAAGGCTACCCTGGACTACAGATCCAGATCCAGGACAGGCACAAAAAACTACACGGAGAAACTCTGTCTCACAAAACCAAAAAACCATAAATAAATAAATAAATAAATAAATAAATAAAAACAAAGAAAGAAATGGAAAACACTGTTGTGTTACAGAGTTGCCTAATATTGCAAGGCTTTCCTTTATGCCCTCAGGCAGGAAGGAGGAAAATTCTTGAAAAGGTAGTTAAAACCTAGGACCTAGGACATGAGAGCATTCCCTAAGGGTCTGATGTGTTGACAATAGAACAGCTCCTTCCCTAAAGCCAGAAATATGTTTTGGAGATCTGGTAATGGTCTAGGGCTAGGGCCTTTGTGGTTGGGTTTTTTTCAGATCATGAATTTATCCCATTGTGTGATAGTTTCTGCTAACTTTATAAAAGTCATCCATTTTCTTCAGTTTCCTCCCTGGAAGTAGTATACAAGTTGCTATTCTTCTTAAGAAGCTAAGTTGAGGCTGGAGAAATGGCTTAGAGGTTAAGGGCACTGGCTACTACTCTTCCAGAGGTCCTGATTTAAATTCCCAGCAACTACATAGTGGCTCACAACTATCTATAATGAGACCTGGTGCTCTCTTCTGGCCTGCATGCATACATGCAGGCAGGTTACTGTATGATGCATAATAAATAAATAAATAAATAAATAAATCCTTTTTTTAAAAGGCGCTTAGTTGACATGAGACATAGATTGTACAAGACCTCATTCTTTTTCTCTCTTTCTTATCTCCTTCACCTCAGAACCCTGTTACTGAAGAAGATCCTACTGTTTCATATCACTGGGTTATTTAAGAAATAATTTTGGAAATGTCTTTGCTGTGTAAGTCTCCCATCTGTCTAAGTGGGTGGAGTTGCAGTATTTTGTCTCAATTTGAATTACTCAAAGTGTAATCTGAAACTTGAATCTAAATGTCACAAGGATGATGGAATATGGGGAATGCAAGATCTCTTCTAGGCTGGTTCCTCTTTGAGCATTAGCCAGAGATGGATGCATGCTTTCATTAAAGAGATTTTTTTTCCATATTAATCTCTTAATTGTGTGGAGTGATTTCTCCCTTGGGAGGCATATTGATTCTAGGACACTTGCATTTTAACCATTTTAGAAAGATGTTTCTGACACAAGCTCTCTTATGTTGACACAAATGGCCATGGTCCCAGTGTGTTGCTCTCCAGGTCAGTGATCTTGCTATCCTCCATATTACAGCTGCAAAATCTTAAACTGAATGATTGTATCACCTCTAGGTTTAAAAACTCCCCATTTGATTCATCCAATTTAATATCCATTGTTGTAAAAGGAAAGAACTTGCATTTGGAGCATGGTTTCTACCTTCAGACCAGAATAGAAGGAATAGCTTATTGTGCACACTACTTCGGTAAAGAGGGTAGATAATAAGCTGCTGAAGTCACCATTATTAAAAAAAAAAAAAACAGAACCTGATTATAGTAGGAGGAGTGATTTTGTAATTTCTAAGCATTTACTAATTGAAGTGTTGGGAATTAAGACAGACGAGACTTATTGGAATGAAGGGACTGTGAAAATTTCATGTGCTGGTGGCCTGGCACCCTTGACCCAGCATACATTATAGGCAGGTCAAGTTTCAGTTGAATGTTCTGTGGCTGGCTTGGTGTCCCAGGTCCATCTCTGGAGCCTTATGTAGTTACAGAAAATTGCTAGTTCAGCCTCCATATTCTTAATTGTTTGGAATCCTAACTAGGGTCACCCATATGGGTTCCAAGATTTTTTTTTTAGATTTATTTATTATCTATACAGTATTCTGCCTACATGTGTCCCTGCAGGCCAGAGGAGGGCACCAGATCTCATTACAAATGGTTGTGAGCCACCATGTAGTTGCCAGAAATTGAACTCAGGACCTCTAGAAGAGCAGTCGGACTCTTAAACAATGAACCATCTCCCAGCCCAGGTTCCAGGTTGTTTACATTGCACTATTTTCATAAACCCTGCTAAAAGCTCCCCTATTCCAGTTATCTATCCCTACCTTCTCCTCATTTGTCTCTTCCTTACTCACCCAATCCTTCCTGTTCCCTTCCCAACTTGCCATCAGTGCACCCAAAAAATCTATTCTATTTCCTCTTCCAAGGGAGAGCCACAAATCTCTCCTAGGGCCATTGTTTATTATTTAGCCTCTCTGCATCTGTGGATTGTACTGTGATTACTGTGATTACAGTGATTGTACTTTACTGAACTACTTATATCTACTTATAAGTGTGTACATACCATGTTTGTCATACCATGTTTGACTCACTCAGGATAATACAGAACTAAAGAATCTTGACAACTTCAAACCAAATAATTCATTTATAATGGGACATACCTCTAAACATAACTCTCAGTAGTTGAATCTAAAGTTGCTGAAAAAGACTTGAAGAAATGTTCAACATTCTTAGCCATCAGGGAAATGCATATTAAAACTCCTTTGAGATTTCATTTTATATCTGCCAGAATGAGAAGATCAATAATACAAATGATAGCTAATGCTGGCAAGGACGTGGAGCCAGGGGAGTCACTGCTTTGACAAGTGCAAACTTGTACAGCCACTGTGGAAAATAAATATGCAATACTCTGAAAATGGGTAGTCAATCTACATGAAGACGCAGCTTGGGCATATACCCAAATGATGGTCCTGCACCCTACCACAAGGACAATTGCTCAACTAGATTCATAGTGGCTTTATTTATAATAGCCAGAAACTGTTATGTCTGTGAGAGATTTTGCTGATTGATGATTGAAATGAGAAGGCTCCTCCACCTAGGGTAGCAGGAATGGCTATTCCACCTAGGGTGACTGTAGCAAGAACATACCCCAGTTATGGGGAAGGAATAATCACTCTTGATTCAGACATGGTATAACACTCATTTATTCACACAGTAAGATTACAAGTAATATTTATCCTGTCTTCCAAATGGAAATGGAGTACCTTTCCAGGTGTACAGGTCCGGACTTGCCACATCTTTTCCTATGGATCTTGGGTCAGCCCTCCTCCGGTTAGCCATGTCTGCACTGGGGACAGGATCTCACGTCTCATGCAAGGGTCTGACGAGATCTGTTGATCTTCTGATCTGATGATCTGAGGCTTCATTTTATATCCTTCCTGGTAAGGTTTCTAGTCTTACCCCAACTTCCACACAAAGATTATATTTCATCTCTACTCCATTTGTGATTTACTTAAGTCATTCTATTGCTTATCACTCCTGTTCACCCTAGGTCTTACATGTTCCTTACAGTGACAATAACCCTAAAAAAGTGGGCCTGGACTAGAAAAGGGAGCCAACTGAGCATGAGACAGTTACTGCCAAGAGACAACACCAGAAAGCAATCTTTGCCTGTGGGTTTTGCCTTCAATTGTTAGCATGGGTTTTTATCCTGATCTCCCAAGGTGATGGAGTGTGATCTGACACAATCAGCCAAATAAACCCATTCATTGCCTGATATGTCTTTGGTTAGAGGCTTTAATCACAGCAAGATAAAAGAAAGTTAAAACAAAAAAATGTAACACCAACAGTGATTTTATTGCCAGGTAGAATCTGAGAATGTTGTCTTTTGGAAGAATGTGGAAGATATCAGGACCTTAGTTGGCAAAAACCATAGAAAGTTACACACAGAACATTATTGGTCCATTGTGTATGACTAGGAAGATGGGAATGTTAAGAGTAATGGCAGAAAGTGGAGATTGAGACTATAGAATTTCAGTCAAAATGACTCAGTAAAAATTAAGCTAACAGTCATTTGTGTCATATTTTGGCTCCAAATGATTTCTTATTCTGTCAATGCCCAGGATATTTATTAATGCAGAATTAAAAAATAATGTGCTAGTTTCTTAAATGGAATATTGATTCTGTTGGAGTGTTTTTATAGACTCATTCAGGTGAACAATGGAAGAAAACAAGAGAGGCAGAAACAATTGAAAATGAGAAGGTAGTTTCAGAGGGCTGTGAAGTGCTGAAAAAGGCAAGGGTTTTCAAAGACTTGATCACCGTTATTCAGAAAATGGATGCATGAAGGGTAATGGAAGGTCTCCTAAGGTTAATGCTCTATTTATGTAGTGCTTGAAATTATGAAATAAGAAAGCACAGTGATTTCTAGTCCCAGGAAGCAACTTCATACAAAATCTGTTTCACCTGTGGTCCAAGCATGTTTTTGTCCATCCCAATCAAGAAGTCAAACTTTGCAGGATCCACCATCATCTGCTGGTCCTGGAAACAAGAGAGAATCAAAATTTAAGGTCATCAATTCTTAGCCTCTGGTTACAGTTCAGCATTTTTGCAGGCATCTATGATTGGCAGAGACAGAAATCAAGTGAGGAGATTGGGAGGGTTCACTGCATGAAGTAGTGAGGATGAGGCTTGGTGCTTTTTTATTCTTTTTTAACTCTTTACTCTTTTGGTGTCTGGCTACCCAGTTCTAAAATTAATTGCACACATAGAGGCTTAGTCTTTCTTATAATTGCATGGCCTTAACTTGGCTTGTTTCTAGCCAGCTTTTCTCACCTTAAATTATCACATCCACCTTTTGGCTTTTAACCTCCTCTATTCTGTATACCTTTCTTTTCTTGTTACTCCATTGCTTGCTGTGTAGGTGAGGGGATGGCCCCTGGTGTCTTCTCTCTCTTTCTTTTTCTTTCTTGCTGCTTCTTCCTTTTTTCTATGCAGATTTTTTTCTCCCATTTATTATCTCTGACTGCCAGCCTTGCCTATCCTTTCCTGCTGAGCTATTGTCCATTCAGCTTTTTATTAGATCAATCAAGTATTTTAGACAGGTAATGTATCACAGCTTCACAGAGTTAAATGCAACATAAAAGATTGCAACACATCTTTGCATCATTAAAAAATGTTCCATGGCATACACAAATATAACACATCTTAAAATAATATTCCACACACCTGCATTGCATTTTGTGACCACAAAATGTTGAGATACCTAACCTATGAGACATCTTCCATTTAGACTTAGCTGCATATAGACAGTAGAAGTAACCATAGAGATAAATGTTTGGGAAATTGCAGGGAAAGGGCAATCTAAGCCCTTTTGAACTGAAGCCCCTTGCATCTGAGACAGAGATACAGGATTTATTGTTTTTCTTCCTGTGCTTCAATCTTTTCTTGGTTCATCCTTCCCTCACTGTGTCTCCATTTCACTGTTTTGGAATGTGAATGGGACTGTGTGCCATTGTATGTTCAAAATATGTATGTAACTCTACTAATTTTACAAGATATCACTGTCAAGAGATCATCTTGAGGATCAGAAGAGACTTTGGACATTTGAACAGTGTAAGGGCTGTTACAGACTATGAGGATCATTGAAGTAACTAAATGCATTTTCTTCATGAATGACCATGAGCCTTAATGACTTGGGTCAAAATGTGATTGATTTAAAAACCTCCCAGTTAAGACACTGTATTTGGACACATGTTTCTCCTTGGATATTTCTTTGTATTGTTTTGAAACCTTTACTAGGAGGAGTCTTTCTGGATAAAATTCCTCACTAGGAGTGTAATATGCATCTCAACAGTCTCAACACATTTCCTGTTTGTTCTGTATACTGTGTTGTGTTGAAATTAATCAGCCAACTTCCTTCCTGTTCTGTCATGCCTTCACCAACATTATAGACTCTATCTCAAAATCACATAAGATAGAGTAGAAGCAATTGTAATTCAGTGATAAGGCAGTTTGGTAACCTGCTCTTTTAATTTTTTGTTGTTGTTGTTTTTGAAGACAAGGTTTATCTGTGTAGCCCTGGCTGTCCTGAAAGGAGCTCTGTACACCAGGCTAGCCTCAAACTCAGAGATCCCGCTGATTCTTGCCCCCACATCCTGCGACAAAAGGAGGACCAACATTCCTAGCTTTTTTGTTTTTATATTATTGGGTGATGGGCTTGAGATGTAGGTTTATACATGTCAAACATATGCTGTTTTACAGATTTTCACCTGTATCTTGTACTTTAAAATTTGGCAGAGAGCATCCTTCTGTTTCTCAGGATGGCATGTACTCATGACACTAATATTGCCTGCACCTTTTGAGTCATTGTATAGTGGGTGTATGAACTTCTTCCTGCCTGTTGTGTTTTGTTTGAATTTTTAAGTGAATATGAATATTTTACCTGTATGCATAGATATACACCACATGGGAAACTGGTCATCACAGTAATCAAATGATGATCTTAGAAACCCTGAGGTTGGAATAATGAATAGTTGTGATCTCCCATGTAAGCAAGAGCAATTGAGCCCACCTCCATTCAAAACAAAAAAGAGCTCTTTGCTGCTATACCATCTCTCCTGCCCTGTGTTGATTATGTTTGATCAACATTTATATTTCTAAAGTTTTCATCTGTCCATTTATAACTGTTACAATGTGCAGTGCCTTTTATCAAAATCTTATTGATGTTACAGCTTGAATTGCACACTTCATGTTCTTGAAGATGAAAACAGAACTGTAATGAATCCAACACTCTTTTAAGGAACTTCAGTAAAAACCTCTGAGCTTCCTCTGTAGCTAGAGTTTTCCTGCCTTGCCCACAGTCAGGAAAAATTCTTGTCACCCGCCAGTCCCACAGGTGCTCAGACCCAACCAAGTAAACACAAAGACTTATATTGCTTATAAACTGTATGGACATGACAGGCTTCTAGCTATCTAGTTCTTACATCTTAAATTAATCCATTTCCATAAATCTATACCTTGCCATGTGGCTCATGGCTTACTGGCATCTTCACATGCTGCTTGTTTTGGCGATGGGTGGCAGTGACTCCTTCCACCTTCCTGTTCTTTTTTTCTCTTCTCTGTTAGTCCCACCTATACTTCCTGCCTAGCCACTGGCCAATCAGTGTTTTATTTATTGACCAGTCAGAGCAATTTGACATACAGACCATCCCACAGCATTTCTCTATCTTTTTTGTTGATTTTTACATGGAAGACAAGGTCTTAATGTATAGTTCTGGCTTTTCTGGGCTTGATTTTGTAGAGTAGACTTCTATTCAACTCAGAGGCAGATATACCTGCCTCTGCTTTCTGAGTGCTTGGGTTAAAGGTATGAACATTACACCTAGTCTACCTAACCTACTTTTCTTTTCTGTAGTTTCTAATTATTCATACAATTTCACTCATGTGTACTCTGTACTGTTGATCTGTTTACTTGTCTCTCTATGTTAATAGGCATTTCTCTTGCAAAGTAATATCTCATTCAAGGGGTACAGAATTGACAGAGGTAAACCTCCTATTCACTTTTCATCTAAAGTGACTTTGTGATTATATTGCAATGTCTGTTATGAAATATTGTGGGAGGATCAGAATTATATGACTATACTGTCAAAGAAGTATACATTTACAATGCTTTCTGTTGTCCACATGTATGGGATGTTCTAGAATGTAGTGACCTATGATGATGTGCATTTTGGCTTCACCTGGGAAGAGTGGACTTTGCTGGATCCTTTCCAGAAGAATCTCTACAAAGATGTGATGCTGGACACCTACTGGAACCTCACTACTATAGGTAAGACTTAATATTCCTTCATGTTTTAAAATAAGGGGGTAATATTTTCTTGGTTATTGATTCTCTTCACTAATTTGATTGAGAAAGGAGAATGAGGTGAATAATTCAGTCATGCTTCAAAGAGTCACTGAAGATAGTAACTTAAATTTTGCACAGTTTCAAATAAAATACACATTTTCTGATACTATATTTTAGGGTACAGTTGGAGAGACAATACTACTGATGAACATTTTCAAAGTTCCAGAAGACATGGAAGGTAATTGTCTTGTGCAAGCTGATAAAAATGCACCTGTGAAGAAATTGTAATGTGTTCTGGAAGTATTAAACAAATGCAACAGTGTAAATAAGCACTGTTTGAAGTGTGTTGGTGATTATTAAATTCTTACAAAGCACATACCTCAATTTTAAGTAGGTGAATTGCATTTGCAAGGCATTATTTTAAGAAAGAAGACAAGGGGAAAATGCCTCAACAGCTATCAACTTTTGAATCATTGCACCATGAGAACTATGCTGTAGGACTGTAAATCCATTTATTTTATCCTACTCATATTACAAAATTAATAATCAGAGAAGAGGTGTGATGTATATCTCCAAAAACTTCTAGTAAGCAGAGTCTATAGTAAAGATAGTATTGCTCATATATTTATTGTGACTGTGCTGTTTAGTGAGAAGGGCAGTTAGAGTCAATAGTCAATGGGCACTGTCATGGAGAAATGTTAATCCCTATTATAAGTCTATGAGGACAGGAAGTCAAACTGAATTCTTTGTGGAAACCTTTTATTTGTCATTCTTCCTTTACTAGGTATATCATTTGTCACTCTGGATACAAGACATATGAGCATAGAGATATGGAAAGATATATCATACCTCTCTCTGAGACCAATTAGAAGATATGTAGCAGTCCCCACATTGAATATATTTGTTGAATTTGATGCAAGTATTCAAGTAATTGTTTTTCAAACACCAACAAACTCACATTACAGAAAAACCCTATGAGTACTAGGACTGTGTAACTACAACATGAGTGTAAACATAGTGATAAAACCTAAAGATCTGTTTCCTTTTATAATATGACCAAATTGTAAAAATAATTTATACATATATAAGGAGTCAACAGTGTATTGAATGTGGTAAAGCTTTTACATGTGCCAATTATTCTTGCAGGTATGAAAGAAACCAAACTGGAGAGAAACCTGTATATTTTCAATGTGGTAAAGCCTTTGCATATGAGAGTCATCTTCACAGGCATGAAAGAACACATAGTGGAGAGAAAATCTTTGAATGTAATCAGTGTGGTAAAGCCTATAGTCATCAGAGTAGTCTTCAGATGCATAAAAAAACTCATACTGGAGAAAAACCCTATGAATGTAATCAATGTGGTAAACCTTTTGTTCATCACAGTAGTCTTCAAAGGCATGAAAGAATACATACTGGAGAGAAACCCTCTGAATGCAATCAATGTGGTAAAGCCTTTGTTCATAACAATGGTCTTCAAGTACACAAAAGAAGACATACTGGAGAGAAACCCTATGAATTTAAGCAATGTGGCAAAGCCTTTGCACAATATGGTCATCTTCAACGGCATGAAAGATCTCATACTGGAGAGAAACCCTATGAATGTACTCAGTGTGGTAAAGCATTTGTGCGTCAAAGTCATCTTGAAATGCATAAAAGAACACACACTGGAGAAAAACCCTATGAATGTATTCAATGTGGTAAAGCCTTTGCACAACAGAGTAATTTTCAAGTTCATGAAAGAACACATACTGGAGAGAAGCCCTATGAATGTATTCAATGTGGTAAAGGCTTTGCAAAGCATGGCAGTCTTCAAATGCATGAAAGAACACACAGTGGAGAGAAACCCTATGAATGTATTCAATGTGGTAAAGCCTTTGCACAGCGTGGTAATCTTCAAATGCATGAAAGAACACACAGTGGGGAGAAACCCTATAAATGTAAACAATGTGGCAAAGCCTTTGCACAAAAGAGCCATCTTCAAATGCATGAAAGAACACATACTGGAGAAAGAATCTAATTAATGTGGTAAAGCATTTGTATCACAGTCATCTGCAAATTCGTGAAACAACACATACTAGAGAGAAACCCTATGAATGTATTCATTATGATAAACCCTTTGCCTATCACAGTCATCTTCAAGTGTATATAAAAAACATACTAGAGAGAAACCTTATAAATGTAATTAGTGCTATAAATCCTTTGTATATATCAGTGATCTTTGGAATCATGAGAAAAAGTCATATTGCAGAGAAACCCTGAAAATATAGTCTGTGTGGTAAGATTTTGCACTTTATACAGGAGTAAAACTTTTGTGTGCATCTGATCTTTTAAAGCCTTAGCTTATCACAATTGACATTGAGTACCTGAAAATGATACTGAGGGCTATATATTATAATGTATTAGTAAGATCTTTAACCAATACACTTATAGCCAATTACACAACATTATTTATTTTGTAGAAAAAAATGTTGACAGTTTCAACAAACTGTTCAAGCATTATGATTTCCATTTTTATATAGTTTGGCCCAGCTATATCATGGGGGAAAAATCGAATTTATGAAGCACTATGTGTAGAGTAAAAGGGCCAGCTAAAGAAGCACACTGTGTCCCTGATTCCAGAGCCAGTGAGAGATACACTGCGGTCCTGAAACCAGAGACATAATTTTAAGAGGGACCAAGTGAAAGAAACACTTTTCCCCTGAAAGCACAGCCAATGAAACACACTCTAGCTTTGACAAACTGAGCACAAAACCAACCAATCAATGAGCACAAAATGTAGCCTAACTCTGAGATTGTTCAAGCACAGGGATTGAAATCCAACCAATTCCCACCCCAGAAATCTCCCTGGAAAAACTCAGCCCTAAGAAGCCCCATATAAGCCATGTGCATGTTCGGTTGACTGCTGACCTTTTCCATACTGGAAAAGGAATCCAGACTTTCTCCTTGATTCCTTTCTCCACAATACATGCCTTGAATTACTTCTGAGTGAAGACATCCTTTTGCCCAAGTGGATCAGAATATCTCTAGTGACTTGGAGCAAAGACACAATGGACACTTCTTCTGGGAAACTCCCTTAGGGGAGTGGAACAGAGCAACAACTGACATCTCTGGTAGGAAAACTCTCCTGGCAGAGTAGAGCAGAGCCCATCTCTAAGAACTCTCTCTCAGAGAGAAGCAGAATTTCTCCATCTTGTGGGGAGATCATCTCTCATGGGAACACAGCTCCAGGCATAGCCTTACTTCCTGTCAGGATACCTTTCTCCTCACCACTGTAATTATATAGGATACCTTCCAATCACACCTGTAGGTGTAGTCTAACTTCCTAAAGACAAGGTACATTCTTTCATTAAACAATAACATAACCCTTTTAGATTTTATACTTGTCTTAAATTGCATGAAATAACTAATTCAGGTGTTTTCTGTTTTGATATAATGTCTAGGTCAACTTATAAAAGTGTTTAATTTGACCCTTAATCCCAGAGGGATACATGATTGCCATGAAAGTGGCATGGAAACAACTGTCAGATGTGGCAGCAGAAGCAGAAGGCTAAGAACTCACATCCTTAACTGTAAGCATTTAGCAGAGTGTGGCACCTATAAATGATGTGTGGATGTAAATTCTCTAAGCTGGTAGTTCCAGTAACACATTTTCTGCAGCATGGCAGTATTTCCTAAATCTTTCAAAATGGAACCACCAATTACAAGTATACATTTCTGGAACTCATGCCTACATACTTGCTTTTGGTTACATGAAACAATTCATGGTGAAGATAAACTGTAATAAGCCATTACACCAGCTAAACACTGGCTATAGAAATGAATACTTACAAGAGAAAAACTTTCCTGAATGAAAAATTGTTTTACTAAAATTTGCTTTAATAATAATTATGTGATGTCAGTGTTTGTCTTTTGGAGTGTGTGAATGTGTATGTTGTTCCTGAGAACATTAAACACTTGGATCTTCTTATAGCAGGAATTACAGGAGATTGTCAAAAATCAGACCTTGGTCATGGGAATGAACATTTCTTAACTGCTCAGCTATGCCTGAAGAGTTATAAATATTTTAAAAACTATTTCTATCATTTTGAAGTCAGAAAATGGGGACAAACTCATACAAGAGAAGAACCCTATTTGTGTAAATAATTTGGTAAAGACTTTTGAAAACACAGTTGTCTTCAGTTTCAAAAAAATACATTTCATTTATTTTTCATTGTAGCCTTGGAGGAAGTAAATTACTTACCATGTTTACTCAAGACATATGGTTGAGACCACTGCATTGTGGTTTCTATTTTGAAACATTTGAGGTAGATACTCAAGTGTGCTCTATGTATGGCAAATCTATTTAGTGAAGTTTATTTTTTGATCTTTATATGCCTTCTGTGGCTTTGTTCATCTACTATCGTGCTTTTACTTAGTGACAGGTATTTTTTCTGCTGTAATGTATAGAATGAGATCCTATTCATCTCAGTGGTCTATTGTTTATTTAAATAGCAGTCAGTGTGTGATCATACTTTTTAAGTAAGGTTGTCTATGAAAGGTGGTGGGTTGTTGTTGCTGGTTTTGTTTTTCATATTTTCACATATACCCTTGTGCTGTGGGATGTTCTGTATGGCAAATGTGTTGCTGATTGGTCAATAAATAAAACACTAATTGGCCATTGGCTAGGCAGGAAGTATAGGCAGAACAAGGAGGAGAATAAAGCTGCGAAGTGGAAGGCTGAGTCAGGGAGACCCTACCAGCCACCACCATAAGAAGCTGCATGTGAAGATCCCGGTAAGCCACGAGCTATGTGGCAAGGTATAGATTTATGGAAATGGATTAATTTAATCTATAAGAACAGTTAGCAAGAAGCCTGCCACGGCCATACAGTTTGTAACCAATATAAGTCTCTGTTTACTTGGTGGGGTCTGAGCAGCTGTGGGACTGACAGGTGACAAAGATTTGTCCTGACTGTGGAACAGGTTCCCAAATGTCAGCTAAGCACCACGGACAGGTAAAGGTCCCACTGCTAGAAGCCTTACAAACAGACCAAGTTACACAACTGTCACACACAAGCAGAGGGTCTAGGATGCTTCCATGTAGGCTCCCTAACCATTTGTTCAGAGTACGTGAGTTCCCATAAGATCAGTTTAGCTGTCTCTGTGGGTTCCCCATCATGAACTTGACCTTCCAGCTTGTACAATCCTCCCTTTCTTCAGCTTTTTAATTACAAATAATTGATGAATTATTTTTCATTTCTATGTTTTATTTTTCTTTGTTCTGAAGGAGTTGGTTGGAAAATATTTGGTCATTAACAGATCATATATTATTTTTAGGAATTCCATAACATAAATTTTGACTATACTACACTCTTCCATCACCAAAAATGTTACCTGATATTTCTTTTTTTTTTCATAGATTTACTTTTTATTCAATGTTAATGTTACAGAGTTCTTACACTACCAAACCGAGCCTGAGAACCCAAAGAAAGAAATGGTGCAATGGACAACCTCATCCACCCAGACAGTGTATTAAAACTTGATTTATGTGCATTTTGATAATTTCACAACCTTAAAAATTTATAACAAGACTTGGAATTTACATCTGCTGCAGGTCTTCAGTGTTCCAGTACAGTATGCCATTAAACAAACCTCTTCACATGTCTCTGTTCACTTCTCAAACCCTAACCCCAAACAGATTGGGGTGGGGGGTGGGGGGTATAAAGCATACTTTAAGCGAAGTATGTGGCTCAAGGTGAGAGATTACTTGTTAAGGTTTCTGGTGCCCAAATAAGTCTTCAGTTTGACCAAGAATCTCAAACTTCTAATTACCCAACGTGCTCCTGGCTAGTTCAGATCACGCCAACGTTACTGCCCAGAATGGCATGCAGTCTGGTCAGGAAACACTAACCTATACCTCCTCCTGCTTCCTGCACTGCTGCACTCATTCAGTGAACTCAAGACCTATTCTCAAGCTAGGAGGGCTTCCCTCATTATGTTTCATTCCTGTCTCAACTGCGCTTGGCAAAGTGACTCATTACAGACAAACCCAGGCACGGCCATCATGCAGTCTCAGTTGCCAATAAAGAGTACTTGTACTGAATCATTTCTAGTGACACAGAAGTAGGTAACTGCCAGACTATTTTACTAGGTGGAAAGGAACATAGCAGTGACCTCTTTAAGGTCAAGTACTACTGCAAAGTTAAATCGTAATTACTAAGAACAGAAGTGAAGTAGGATGTACACAAGGTCAACAGTTCAAGCTCACATTGGGTGAGAGAAGTCCATGTACCAGAAATACCTGAATTCCACTAGTGTCATGTCATGATTCAGGATTTTAAATTCTGGAAAATGTTGATGTTTTTGAATTCTACTATTGAGAAGCATGAGCTTAGTTACTCTTCAAAAATAACTGTTTCAGCTGCTGTTCCATTGTACATCAGAAGCCATCGGCCCACTGCCTGTTCAGCTCCCTTTGAAGAAAAGGGCACTGTACCTTTTCTGAATTGTGAAGGCCACTTCAGGGATGGTGCCATATTGTCCTGGCCTCAGAAGATGCCTTTTGATAAAGCCATAACCACACTTGATTTGGCAAGAATCTATAGTCCTTTGTTTCGTGTCCTGTCTGTCCTGTTTGTTAGCAGTTGATTCGAGGATACTTTGTTGTCCAGTGGCTAACTTTTGCCACAATGAAAGTAAACTCCATATGCAGTTTCTTCAAAGCCCATATTTTCTCTGAAGTAGATTGGTACTGCCAGCAGCCGACATGTCTCATAGTCATAACAAAGAAGAAAAATTTTCTAAGTTATTAAAACATTTTAAATGCCATATTCTGTAGATCTCTGAAGGGTTTGAAGATGACCTGTCTATCTAAAATATATCTGCTCAATTTTTAAAACATACCTAATATGACTACAATGTCTATTATAATGTTTAACTACTAACTTTTATTTCTTTATATCCTAATAGTTGGTAATAATAAAATTCAAGGATCAGAAAATTGCACTACATTGTTAAATGAACGGTATAAGTACAATTAGAAATATACATATAGCATTTTCTAACAATATCAATTTCAATATATATAATTTGTATACAATATAAAACAATCCAATCCATTGTAAAGTATTTAAAACTAGTAATTTTCTTTTTCTTTTTCTTTTCTTTCTTTTTTTTAAACAAGAACCTTAAATCTCCTTTGCTTAGCCTTTTTCCTAACCCTTGACAACAACTTGTAACCAACCCCCCTATACAAAGAAAATTATCCCAGACCCAAAACCCATTAAAAAGACCAAAAAACGACCTGCCCCACACCACCTCTTTGGGAATGTGGGTGCCGTATTCTTAAAATTGCTTCATGCTGGGTATGGACGAAGGTATCTTTATCCTGAAAAGAAAAATTTTAGGTTAATTGTCAAATTCTTGGAAAGGTAACTATATCCTTTGTTATCTAGTCTGTGTATAATGCCAAAGTTCAGGGGTTATCTCAAGTCTTTATTCAAGTAATCTTTGAGACTGGATCATCTCAGCTAGCCATCTCAAAATTGCTCTGAGCACTTTGTAGTCCAAAGCTGATCTGTAGATGATGTTTGTCAGCTTAATGACATTATTATTGTCCATGTAGAATTGTTGTTGCTGTGGGGCCCCATCTTCTTTCTGGAGACTTCAGTTGATATTAGACCTGGCCATGATTTCCCACAGAAAACTGATAATTGACTCGAAATACAAAGACATATATATGCAGCCAATTGAAACCTTTTTTCTAGAATTAGTTAGTTCTTTATATGACCATTCATATCTTAATAAAGTTTAAAATGTATATATATATATATACCCATATATATATATTAATCTTCTAAATTTTGATATAAAATTCATACTTTAAGAAAAGTTTAAAGAATCAGAACAGAATCAAAGAGTTGAGATTAGTAATAGAATAGTCCCTTAATTAGTTTGGTTTTTCTTCTGTCCCATAGCAGAAGATGGCTCTTTTCTTCTGACATGATACAGGGAGTTTACATTTTCCTTTTAACTCCAAATTCAGCTTTAAATTTTAATTGAATTGGGATTATTAGAAGACCAATAGTGTTAAATCTTTAGAGAAGAGCAGTAATAAACATTTAGGAAGACTTATAAAATTTTATAGATGATATAACCATATGCCATTTCACTCTGTTTCCTGGGATAGATGATTTGTCCCTTTTCTTCAGTTGTCTCATTTGTCCTGTGTTCTTCAGATTCTTTAACCTTCATTCTCCTAAAAGACAAAAACATAAACCTTTCCCCAAGACTAATTTTGGGGATGTTCTTTTTGGCAAGTTATTATCTGATTAAATGAAAAGGCATGTTTTACTGGTATAAGTTAGTTTAAATTGGATGTTCATACTGGTTGATGAACTATCACCTCCTTTAATTAAGAGGACTTTCTTGTTCAAATCGAACCTTTATCAATTTTGATAGTACCCACAGCTTATCTTCTCCTATAGAAACAAAAGCAAAACCTTGTCCCCAACGTAATACATACCCTGGTTTCCATTCTGAGGTCAGCACATCCTTAAAGTATATAGACTGATTTAATTCTGTAGTTTTTGCTATTATGCAATGTCTCTCTGCAGCTGTTGTTCCTTTCTCATTGGCATTAAGAAAATTCAAAGTTAATAGAGCATTATGCAGTCTATTTCTGGGGGTTTTTGTTACCCCTTTCTGTTTATTTAGCATATCCTTTAGAGTTCTGTTTGATTTTTCTATAACTGCTTGACCTGTAGGATTATGTGGAATACCTGTAATATGCTTTATATTGTAATAAGAAAAAAACTGTTTCATTTTAACAGAGTCATATGATGGAGCATTATCAGTTTTGATTGTGTGCAGGTATACCCATGATGGTCATAACTTCTAGCAAATGAGTAATTACAGAATCAGCTTTTTCAGAATGCAAATCAGTTGCCCATTGAAATCCTGAATAAGTATTGATGGTATGGTGTACATATTTCAGTTTTCCAAATTCTGCAAAGTGAAACACGTCCATCTTCCAGATTTCATTCCTCTGAGTATCCTTTGGGTTACATCCTGCTGGTAATTGCATTTGATTGTAGAAGGAACAAGTAGGACATTTCTTTACTATTTCTTTGGCTTGTTGTCAGGTTATGGAATAATCTCTTTTTAAACGTTTAATATTGACATGATGTTTTTTTAATGAACTCTGAGACCTCCAGCACATTTCTTATCAATAATTTATCAATCTCATCATTGCCTTGTTCTAGAGGCCCTGGCAGATCAGTATGGGATCTGATGTGAGTTATATGTAAAGGATGACTCCTTTTCCTGATTGTATCTTGTAATTTAATAAATAGTGAAGTTAATTCTGATGCATCAGGGACAAATTTTGCAGTCTCAATATGTAATACCACTCTTTCAGCCTACTGAGAGTCAGTAACTATGGTGAGAATTTCTGAAAAAACCATTAATACCAACAGAATAGCATACAATTCTAATATTTGAACTGAATTATAAGGACTTTGAACCACTTTACTTAAATTTTCTGATTTGTAACCTGCTTTTTCTTGTTTATTGGCATGTGTATAAAATATATGAACTCCAGATATGGGTTTTTCCCATACAATTCGAGGCAAAATGCAATCATCTCTCTTTATAAGATCAATTCTATAGCTTTTGGGATATCTGCTGTTAATTTCTCCCAGAAAATTAATGCAAGCTCTTTGCCAAGCATCACTTTCTGTCCATAATTTTTCAATGTCCTCTTTAGTTAAAGGTACGACAATTTCTGTTGAGTCTATTCCTGCTAATTGATGAAGTCTCAATTTTCCTTTCCAAATCAAGTCAGAGATTTTTCCACATAATTTTTTAATTTTTTATTCGATTTATTTGGTAAAAATATCTGTTCCAATAAAAGATCTTCCCTCTGCATTAACATTCCTGTAGGAGAATGCCTAGAAAGTAAAATGACCAAAATTCAATCCAGCTTTGGATCATTACGATCCACGTGCCCTTCATGTACTTTCTTTTCTACCAAGGCCAATTCTTTCTCAGGTTCAGGTGATAATTCCCTGGGACTATTTAAGTATTTGTCATCCTCGAAGGTTTTCAACAAATTATTCAGTTCATCATTTTTTACTCCAACAATAGTTCGTAGATGAGAAATGTCTCCAAATTATCTTTGAAAGTTATTAAGAGTCTGTAGTCGATCTCTCCTGATTTGCACCTTTTGGGGTCTAATTTTTTGTAGTTCTATTTTATATTCTAAATAATTAATAGAATCTCCTCTTTGCATCTTTTCAGGAGCAATTTGTAATCCCCAGCAAGGCAAAATATTCTTTACTTCTTCAAACATTCTTTCTAAAGTTTCTGTGTTTGGGTCAGTTAGTAAAATATCATCCATTTAATGATAAATTATAGATTTAGGAAAGTTTTACGTATGACTTCCAATGGCTGTTGTACAAAACATTGACACAGAGTTGAGTTATTCAACATTCCCTGTGGGAGGACTCTCCATTGAAATCTTTTAACCGGTTGAGAGTTATTGTAAGTAGGCGCCGTGAAGGCAAACCTTTCTCTGTCTTTTTCTTGTAAGGGTATTGAAAAGAAACAGGCTGGGCAGTGGTGATGCATGCCTTTAATCCCAGCACTTGGGAGGCAGAGGCAGGAGGATCTTTGTGAGTTCTAGGCCAGCCGGGGCTACCAAGTGAGTTCCAGGAAAGGCACAAAGCTATACAGAGGAACCCTGTCTCGCAAAACCAAGACCAAAAAAAAAATAAAAAAAAAAAGAAAAGAAACAGTCTTTTAAATCAATAACTATGAGAGGCTATCCTTTTGGTAACAGTGTAGGCAAAGGAATTCCAGATTGTAGAGAGCCCATTGGCTGAATTAATTTGTTAATTGCTCTAAGGTCTGTTACCATTCTCCATTTACCAGATTTCTTTTTAATAACAAATACAGGAGAATTCCAAGAGCTGGTTGATTCTTCAATATGGTGAGCATTTAACTGTTTTTCTACCAGCTCTTCTAAAGCCTGGAGTTTCTCTGTTGTTAAAGGCCACTGCTGAAGCCATATAGGCTTGTCTGTTAACCATTTTAAAGGTAGAGTTGTTGCTGTCTTTGGGAGATTATCAGTTGTTGTATCCTGTTCTTATATAATATGGATGGCTGGTGATCACTCATTAGAATAATATCTTTTAAAATTTCTCTCAGAAACATGTGCTAGTTTATGATTTGTTTCTGAGGTTGGAGGGATGTTAATCTGTGTATTCCATTGTTGCAACAGGTCTCAAACCCACAAGTTCATAGCTATGTTAACCACATATGGTTTTAATTTTCCTCTCTGTCCTTTTGGACTTATATATTTGAGCCATCTTGCACTCTGTTTCACTTGAGATAATGTCCCAATTCCTAACAGTTGAACTTTTACCTCCTGAAGAGACCAAGTTTGATGCCAAAATTCTGGTGCAATCATGGGAATGTCAGCACCTGTGTCTACCAGACCAGACAACAAAACACCATTTATTTTTATTGTTAATTTTGGTCTTTGTTCATCATTAGAAATTTGCCAAAAAATTTATTTGTTTTTTCTTGAATTTTCTGTTCTCTCTGTTTCAACATCCCAAGCAACATGATTTACTCTAATAGTCATTTGGTTATTTAATTGCTTTGAGTAGGGGTTTTCTCTACAACTGCAGGAAAGGTTTGAACTGGATTTACTGTGGGGGCCTGCCTGAGGCCCCTCTGGGTGTTTTCCAAAGACCGAGGCAAAGGATTACCTTGCCTGTCCCTTGTTGATCTATATTCATTGGTCCAGTGTTTTCTCTTACCACACCTTCTGCATACTCCAGAAGGAAGGGGCATTGTGTTGTCATTGTTCCTTGAAGAAACATTGTTTCTAGGAATGACGTGTTTACAGTCCCTTTTCAAATGTCCTTGCTTTCCACATCCAAATCATCTAACATTCCTCAAATCATTTGAAATTGCTTCTTCTACCCACATATCATCTTGGCCATAAGACTCAACATTAATATTTGTCTCTAATCCAGTCTTCCAGGGATGAAGATCTTACCTTTAATGGCCTGATTATGCTCTTGCATGCTGCATTCGTGTTCTCAAAAGCCAAAGATTCAATTATTATCTGACTGGCTTCTGAATTCAGGATCATTCTCTTTACAGCTGAAGCCAGTCTTTGTAAGAAATCTGTGAAAGCTTCTTTTGGGACCTGTATAACCTTTGTAAATGACTCAGTTTTCTGTCCTGGTTCCTCAACTCTGTCCCATTCATTCAAGGCTGCTGTTTGACAAAGAACTAAGGTTTGGATATCATAAAAACATTGTGTTTGTACTGCAGCATATTGGCCTTCTCCAACAAATTAATCCTGGAAGACTTGCATTCCTTTATCCCTCCATTTTTTTTCAATGTTTTTAGCCTCCTCCTTGAACCACATTAGTCATTGGAGCTGTTGTCCGGGTTCCAGAACAGCATGTGCCAGCTCCTGCCAGTCCTGTGGTATAATCCTATTATAAGTTGACCATAAGTACAACATTTGATTTACATATGGGGAATGCATGCCATAAGATACTATTGCCTCCTAAAACCTTCATAAATCCAACATTTCATTTGGAGTCCAAATATTTTGTGTATTCATTTGATGAGGTAGTTGATGTATGGTTACCGAATAAATTGAGGGTGATTGTGTGAAAACAGGCTTTCTTTCTGTAACCTTATTATCCAATCTTGAAACAATTTTACTGTTAATTACTTCTGTTTGAATTTGAATTTCTCTTTTTTTTTTTTTTTTTTTTTTTTTTGGTTTTTCGAGACAGGGTTTCTCTGTGTAGCTTTGCGCCTTTCCTGGATCTCGCGCTGTAGCCCAGGCTGGCCTCGAACTCACAGAGATCCGCCTGGCTCTGCCTCCCGAGTGCTGGGATTAAAGGCGTGCGCCACCACCGCCCTCTGTAATTCATTTCAACAGTTTTAACAGGTTTTTCTAAAACTTTTGTCCTGGCACTTAAATTGGCTATCTTTTTAAATAGCAAAATAAGGATAAGAAAAGTAATAAAGTGAATAATTCGATAAATATTAATCTTCTCATATAGTTGTTCCATTTTCAGACTGCCTAAAATTTCAAAAAAGCCCAATTTTCTTCCAATGTACACATAAAACTCATTTTTTAAATGTGGAAAAAATTTCTCTTTTAAATAGTTTCCTTTAAAATATCTGATATCTTAATTGACTTACCAAGTCTGCAAAGAACAGTAGAAATCTGAGGGAATTTCAAAACAGCTACCTAGTGACTGAGGTGTGAATCCATAGAGAGAGAGAGAAAAAGAGAGAAAGAGAAAGTAACCAAGAAAGCATAGCCACATTTCTGGCTAAAAGCTTAAATCCAGCTCGTGTTCCCGCTTGAGCCAAGTCAAGCATGGGGTCTGGCTTCCTTAAGCTCTGAACATGTGCCTTGGCATTTCAGTCAAAAGTATGTGTAGCTACTGCAATTAGCAGTAGCTCCGGCAGGGCAAGCGTGAGTTGTTTGTAGCACTGGCTTTAAGCAAGTAGCTCCAGCTGTGGTATTGGCTTGTAGCTATGGTCAGTCAGGCCTGAGACCTAAGCCGAGCTGGGCCCGAGCTAGGGAGCAGGGCCACCTAGGCGGGAAACCAGACTTGCTGCCAAGCCAAGTCAAGTGGTTTTTAATGAAGTCTTGCCACGTTGGGCACCAGATGTAGATGTTCCCATCTCATTAAATAAGAAACACAGAGCCAATGCAAAGATGAAAGCCCAAGAGGTCAGATCAAGCTAAGAGCTAAAAACCTTACCCTTAACTGCCATTGCTATCTTCCTCAGCAAGAGAGCTATTCCCTGTCTGTTTGTCTTTTTTATAGATTTTGTATTCTGCCTTCTCATTGGCTGTAATCCCAACCACATGACTTCCTCATTACTGACTCTCTGTACAGACCTCCATGTCTTCTTTGGTTGGTATTTAGATTAAAGGTGTGTGTCTCCATGCTGGTTGTATCCTTAAACACACAGAGATCTGCCTAGCTCTGCCTCCTAAGAGCTGGGTTTAAAGGCATGCACCATCACTGCCCAGTTTTTGCTATGGCTTGCTATTAGCTCTGAACCCCAGGCAACTTTATTTATTAGCATACAAATAAAATCACATTTCAGTACAATTAAAATATCACCATATATGCACCACATGTACACCTGTCTTCACAGTAGTCCAAAGAGAGTCTTAGAAACCACAAGCTTGGAATAATGAACAGTTGTGTGATTCCCCCATATAAGTACTGACAATTGAGCACATCTATATGCAAAACCAGTAAGAGCACTTAACTCCTGAGCCATTGCTCCTTCCCTATGTTGATTATTTATGATCATTATTGATATTGCTAATGTTATCTTATTTCAATTGGTAACTGTTTAAATGCACAGTTCCTTTTAGTAAGATTTATTAAAATACTGTTTAAAATGGAGCAATTCAGGTTTCTGGAAGATGAATACAGAAATGGAGTGAATGCCTAACTCTTTGCAGCACTTCAGAAAAAAAATTCTCTGAGTTCATCTTATATGTTTTGTTTGTTTGATGGAAGTTTGCAGCATAGATGGGTTCTTAATATTAACTTCTTGCTCTCCTATAACTGATTGCATACACTAGGTTAACTTTCACCTTGGAAGCACATATACCTGCTTAAAACCTTCTAAGTTCTGGGATTAAAGACATGAGCTGATATACCCAGCTTAAAAATCTTTGTAGTTAATAACTGTTCATACAATTTCTCTGATGTGTGCTCAGTACTGTTGAAGTGTTTGCCTGTCTGCTTATCTCTGTTAATAAGCATTTCTCTTGCAAGGTGATATCCTGTTCAAAGCATTCAGAAATAATAGAGGTAACCACTTACTCATTTTCTTTGTAAAATAACTTGATGATTTCATTGTAATATCTGAGTTATAGAATACATATAGCAATCGCCAGAACTGTATGACTATATTGTCAAATAAGCACACATTTACTATGTTGTATCATGCTTTCAGTTTTATACATGTTAATGGCATATTTATATATGGCATATGTTAGAATACAGTTTCATATAATGATGTGCATGTTGAAATCACTCATGAAGAATGGACATTGTTGGATCCTTCACAGAGGAATCTCTACAAAGATGTGAATCTGGAGACCTATATGAACCTCACTGCTATAGGTAACACCGTAAATTTTTCTTCACATTTTAAATAAGGGGAAAACAGTTTCTTGGTTATTGATGCTCTTCTGTAATTCCGATTGAGAATGAGGAAGAATGAGGTAAATAAAACAGGCTTGGTTCAAAGGATCAATGAAGATACTAATGTAAATTTTTCAGTTTCCTGTAATATTTCATACATTTCCTTGTTTGATATATTAGGCTACAATTGGGAAGACCTTGAAGTTGAATAACATTGTCAAAGTTCTCAAAAACATGGAAGGTAATTTTCTTGTGCAAGCTGACACAAATGGGACTCTGGATATATTTAACATATCTTGACATTTTCAAGAAGTGAAACATTGTAAATAATCACAGCTTAAAAAGCATTGATGATCATTAAATGCTCATAACACACATAACTCAATGGCACGTAAGTGAATTGTGTTTGTAAGTCATTCTTTTAAGAAGGAAGACAAGGAATCTATGCCTTAACAATAATCATCATTTGAACAATACCTTCATCAGAACTGTGCTGTACAAGTGACATTTTGTTTAGTTTCATACTATTCAAATTACAAAAGGTATATTCACTGAATGTATGATAAGAATAAAGAACAAACTTTTAATAAGGAATTAATCCATAGTAAAAGCATTGTTACTCAAAAGTCATTCTGTCTTTTTAATTTTAATTAGATAGGTAGTTAAGTCAAAAGTTAAGGTGGGTTGTTGTTGAGAAACATTAATCCCTATACCACATGTTGACTGGGAACTGAAAGTACAATTGTAAATAAAATGTGGAAACCTTCATGTTGTTATTCTTTGTTTAATAGTTATATCATATGTCACTTTGAATACCAGCCATATGAATATAAAGATATGGAAAGAAGCAATGTACATCTCTCAATCTCAGAACAATTACAAGACATGTAGTAGTCCCATGTTGAGTGAGCTTGTTGAATGTGATTGAAACCAACAAAAAATTGGTTTTTCAGCTTAATTTGCAGTACATCAGAAAACACACGACAGAAAATTGAGTACTAAATGCTTCTGTTGGTCCTGGTTCACTTTGCAAATGTAGCATGACTAACAGTATAGAAAAATTTATCAGCAGAACAAGGAAGGTAATTATCCGAATTCTCCCAGTTCTCTTCAAATACGTGAAAAAACTCATAGAGTAAAATGATGCCATAAATATGAGCCAGGTAGTAAAGACTTTTATAATCAAAGGCATGTTGAAATATGCAAAGCAAACCTTAATGAAGGAGAACAACATGAGTGTAAACAACATGTTAAAATCTTAAGATAACATTACTCTTTATGTTTACACAAAATTATAAAATTTATTCATGCAGATATAAAGACTCATCAATGCAATGAATGTGGTAAAGCTATTAAATGTTTCAATTATCCTTGAAGGCATGAAAAAAGTCATACTACAGGGTAATCATCTGAATATATTCAGTGTGGTAAAGCCTTTGTATGTCACAATCATCCTCCATGGTATAAAAGAACACATAATGGAGAGAAACCCTATGAATATAATCATTATGGTAAAGCCTTTGCACAACACAGACAGCTTAAAAGGCATGAAACTAAACACACCACTAAAGGATGTTATGGATGTAATCAATGTGGCAAAGCCTTTGCTCATCAGAATGTTCTTCAATTGCATAAAAGAACACTTACTGGAGAGAAACCCTATGAATGTAATCAGTGTGGGAAAGCCTTAGCTCATCAGAATGCTCTTCAGTTGCATGAAAGAACACATATGGGAGAAAAACCCTATGAATGTAAACAATGTGTGAAAGCCTTTGCACAGCCCAGTCATGTTCAAGTACATAAAAGCACACATACTGAAGAGTAACCCTATGAGTGTAATCCGTGTGGTAAAGCTTTTGCTCATCACAATACTCTTCAATTGCATGAAAGAACACATACTGGAGAGAAACCCTATGAATGTGATCAGTGTAGTAAAGCTTTTTCTCATCACAGTAATCTTTAAGGGCATGAAAGAACACATACTGGAGAGAAACCCTATGAATATAATTAGTGTGGGAAAGCCTTTGCTCATCATAGTAATCTTCAATTGCATAAAAGAACACGTATGGGAGAGAAACCCTATGAATATAATCAGTGTGGTAAAACTTTTACTTATTACAGTGCTCTTCAAAGGAATGGAAGAACACATACTGGAGAGATACCCTGTGAATGTAATCAGTGCAGTAAAGCCTTTGCTCATCATAGTACTCTTCAATTGCATGAAAGAACACATACTGGAGAGAATCCCTTTAAATGTAATCAGTGTGGTAAAGCCTTTACTCATCACAGTACTCTTCAATCGTATGAAAGAACACATCCTGGAGAGAAACCCTATGAATATAATCAGTGTGGTAAAGCCTTTGCTCAAAACAGTGCTCTTCAAAGGCATGAAAGAACACATACTGGAGACAAACCCTATGAATGTAAACAATGTGGTAAAGCCTTTGTACAGCCCAGTCATCTTCAAGTACATACAAGAAAACATACTGGAGAGAAACTTTAAAATGTAATTAATGTGATAAAGCCTTTGCACAGCCCCAAAATCTTTAAGTACATAAAAGAATACATACTGGAGAGGTACTCTATGAGTGTCATCAGTGTGAGAAAGCCTTTGCTTCTCATTGTGCTCTTCAATTGCATGAAAGAACACATACTGGAGAGAAACCCTATGAATGTAATCAGTGTTGTGAAGCCTTTTATCATCACTCTCTTCTTCAAAGGCATGAAAGAACACATACTGTAATGACACCATACGATAGTAATCATTGTGGTAAGGCCTTTACTCATCATAGTGCTCTTCAATTTCATGAAAGAACACATAAGTGAGAGAAACTCTATGAATGTTAACAGTGCGGTAAAGCCTTTTCACAGCCCAGTCATCTTCAAGAATATAAAAGAACACATACTGAATAGAAAACGTATGAATATAATCAATTTGGCAATGCCTAGTCACAACACAGACCAGCTCTATAGCTGTAAAACTTTTAGTGTGTCTCTTAAAGCCTTTGAATATAACTTTAGACTTTGAGGATCTGAAAAAAACTGATAGCAAAGGAATCTGAATATATATGAATTGGTATGATCTTCAGCCAACATACTGACATTCATTTACACAAGATTAATTATTTTGGAAAAATATCTACACTGTGTCAATCATCTGTTCAAGCATTATAACGTCTTTTTCTATTTTGTTTACACCTGCCAACTAATATGAACAAAAAACCTATAAATTTAAATGATAGGATAACATTTTTAGATTTCTTCTTCTGTTCAAATATGTGAAATAATGAATTATGATGTTAAATTTCATAGACGTGTATAATTGCCTTTTCTGTGGCTTTGATAATAGATCATATCTAAGTGAACTTAGAAAAGGGTTTAATTTGGCCCTTGGTTGCCGAGCAATACATGAACTCCATAAAAGTGGTATGGAAACTATTGTCAGACATGGCAGCTAAAGCAGCATAAATCAGGAAGAGTAATTGGAAATGATGTGCAGATGTAAATGCTCAGGCCAACTCTCAAGACTGATTTCTTCCAGCAGTATACAATTTTCTAAATCTTCTCAAATGATATCACAGACTGAAAATGATAGATTACTCTGACTTTAAGACTACATGCTTGCTTTCTGTTACATGGACCAATTTATGATGGAGAAAAAAATCTGTAATCACTTAGATGCCTCAAAACCCATGTTACCAGAATTATAATAGAAAAACATTCATGATTGAAAATTAGTTTAAAGATTTATTTTTATTTTAATTATGCTGTGTGTGTGTGTGTGTGTGTGTGTGTGTGTGTGTGTGTGTGTGTGTGTGTGACTTCCTCTGGGTATGTGTGTGTGCATTCTGGTTACCAAGAAGGTTAGACCCTTGAAGCTTCTTGTTGCAAGAATTACTGGAAGTCATCAAAACCTGATCTTGGTTCAGGGAATAAAATTGTGTTAAAGGCTTGGCCATGTCTCTGTACCTGTCAATATTTTAAAGCTTTTTATATCATCTTGATATCAAAAAATAGATAGGTACTCATGTAAAGGAAAACTCTATTTATGTAAACAATTTGGTTAAGACTTTAGACATCACATATGTTTTCAGTTTTAAGGAAAAAACTTGTTTTATATCTTTTTCCTTGTAGCTTTGAAGTAAGTAAATTATTAACCATGTTCACTAAAGACTGATGTGAAGATCCCATTATGGCTTCTATTTTGCAACATTTGAGTAAGATATTGAAGTGTGGGATATTTGTGGCAGTTTCAATTAGTAAAATTTACTTTGTGGTCCTCATATTTCTTCTGTGGCTTTTTTTCATCTTTTGCACTTTCACTTATTTAGAGGTAGTTATCTGCTGCCTTGTATAGGATGGAATGGTTATCATCTAAGTGCTTCGTTTTCATTTAACTCTCAGGCAGTATGTGATCAAAATTTACAAGTAAGGTTGTTTGTGAAAGGGTGATGAATTTTTGTTCATGGTTTTATTTTTAATATTTAATAGTCACAAATGTGCTTGATATGTTTGTTATCCAGCCTGGCTTCAATGTCAGTAATTAGTCATAAATACATAAGAATTCATGATCCCTGTGTGTCAGTCTTTTGAATACAATTCTAAGGGTAGATGATGTACTACCCTTGACTGTTGTTTTGTCAAAACTGTAGGGTTAAGGGGCTAGCTAAAGAAACCCACCCTGACCCTGGAGCCCAGGGCTAGGAAAAGATGGCTCAGATATAGCCAGTGAAAGAAAAACAGTTTAGCTGAAATCAGAGCCATTACTTCCCCTGGCAAACTGACTTGTGAAACCAACCAATCACAGAGTAGGACAGCAGAATTTTGGTACTAGGGCCCATGAACAGAGAAAGAAATACAACCTATGTTTGACACCTGAGCCAGAGAAATGAACCAAAGAAATATGCCCCGACTCTGAATCTAGTGCCAAAATAACACTCTTGGTCCCTAGAAACAGAGGCAGTGAAAGAAATGAGCCTTGGTCTTAGAGGTAATGTCAAGAAGCCAAGAATGGCCAGTGGGGAAAAAAACACAGTTTGGCCCTGAAATCAGGTCCATCTCTGTCCCTAACCCACATAACTGGCCAATCTCTGGGCGGAAAAAAATCTAACCAATCACAAGTTGACTCTGCCCCCAGGATATCCTATATAAACCACCCTGCCTGGTCATTTGTGAGCTCTTCTCTCCATCATGGTACCTGCAAATACGCTCCTGGAGTCTTCCTTCCCATATAAATCTCTTTCTCAAAAGAGTTTGAATGTGAAGATCTATATTCATTGGTGAACAGAAGAACCCTTGCTTCTGGCAGGATGTCTCATAGTGGATTGAGCAAGGGGGGGGGCTTAACAGAAGATCCTTGCTGAGATATCCCATAGTGGAACCCATTAACACTCAAAATACAGAGAGTATACATGCCACTCTCTCATCCTCTAGGAATAGATACAGTAGAAGTGGTCCAAAGCTCCTCAAAGGCTCTCATATCCTGAATGTCACCCTTATTTGAAGATGTTTATTCAACCTTGTCACACCACCTCTTTTTTCAGACCCTAACTACCGCATATTAGTTGTTCAATGATGCTCAGCCTGATAGCTTTGGAGAATGTTGGTTATGTGTCCCTCCAGGGTCAAATGCTCATTCACCATTTTTGACCTCACCCATTGTCCTATTAGATTCTCTCACCTTACCATTTGTTAATTGCTTCAAGCCAAATGTCTCTAGTACCCCTTATCTCTCTCACATTCCTCTCTTCAGCATTGCAGATGGCTTT